TTGGACAATTTGTTCCTTTTTTTTATCTCAAGCGTCCAAATATCCTGAGTCTGAACTTTAGTCGGGTTAATAAAGTTGTTTCTCTGGCAGTGACAATTAACGTTAAATAATTAAAACTCACAAGCAGTTTAGGAACACTACAGGCCAGAGTGGAGTTCCCTACTTACTCCTGACTTACATCAGCAGACGAGTAGAACAGAACTGGGCTGCAGTTCACAGTTTCTGCCACTAAAATTAGAAATTCTAGTTCAGAACTTTTGTTTTGAATTTGTTTATGTTCTTCTCTTTACAAATCTTTAGATCTAAAGGTTAGACATTTTTTAAGATAGATATATTTTAAATAGAAATTCTCAAATGTTGAAAAAGTTATCCAGCAGATACTTATCAGTTGACAGACAAAATTGTAAAATATTATGCAAAATCTTTAAATAAATAAACTAATTTTTTTGGACAATTGCTAACAACAATCAGTGACTGGCTCACTGACACTATCGTAATGAAGAATTGCTCACTGAGTGATTATTGAATTATTATTATATTTTAATATACCCCTAAATCCTGACTCATGTCTGATTATTAAAAATGTTTGATTTGTTTAGCCGTTGCTATTAGAAACAACAAGGTGGAAAAATTCCTCCCACAAAAATCTATGTGAAAAAAAATCCATATCCACCGTCATGGCAATTAAAACTTGAGAAAACCCTGACCTCCTCTGATTGGTCAGAACCTGATTTAAAGCAACATGGCGTAAAATCCCTTTTCCACCTGATGGATTAACAGGGAAATGTCAGAGACAAGTGTTGGACGACGCTGTGATGAAACAAACTCCTCCGTGTTGTTGTCCAAACGTCAGTGTTTTCATCGGGAGAACTCGGGTTTGATCCCACAACGGGCTTTTTTCGAGAAGCTCATGAAAGGCAAAGCAGGCTGTAGGTGTTGAAGTTCATTCCCCGGCTGTCAGCTCTCCTCAGGCTGACAAATCCCTCACCCAGAGAACAAACACAAATCCTACCTTTGGGGTTTTCTTGTCTTCGACAACGTCTCCTTGTCAGGTATCGCCTGCAGAGTCCAGAGGAGAAATTGGAAATAAAACGGTCACAGTTTGAGGAGGATCTTTTTTTTCTTTGACAGTGACAGATGTGATTGTTGGAGAATAAGTTTGAAGGAAACTGTGGGTCAAAACAAAAGAGGAGAAATTGAATTGACATCAGTTTATCAGCTGCAGGTCAGTCTGACCGTGTCTGTTATCATCATCAGTCGGTCCAGCCCTTAAGTTACAGGCACATTATTACATGATTGGATTGTTGTTGGACATTGAAAGACACAGGCTTTGTGTTGAAAGGAACACTCTGACTCAGAGATTTCTCATTAGTCTTGAAACTTTTCGACTAATACAACAACAGTTCATTACACAGCGTGAGAAGAAAAGCTAGAAGGTTTGCTGTTTGTTGACAGCCTGCTGTATGACTCAGCTCCCTGGAAGCCTGACTCATTGTTTTAAACCTCTGCTGTGACGTTTTTTGTTTTTTGTTTTTTTACTTTTTCTAAAAACAACAATGGTTTAAATCACAGAGGAACTCCATGGGGTCTGAGAGACGCCGCCGTGACACCGGTTTTACATCTTTCCGTTATTCAAACCACCCTCTCATTTAACCACTTCAGCTGAAGTCAACAGTTTAATCTGACGATGTGGACAGTGAGCAGCACCGGACCCTGTCTGACCTTCAGTGTGTTCGTGGGTGAGCTTACATGCCAGTGTGTGTGTGTGTGGACATGATGTGCCAGAGAGAGACAAGTGTAATCACAGCTGGAGGAAGAGCTGTGTAAATATTTTTTTTGATCCGATCTCATCCATCTTTAGTTTCCGTTCAGCCGCCATTTTTTCCCCTCCAGTTTTTCTGCTTCTCATCATTCTTTATCAACAAGTGCAACCAGAGGTTCAGACCCAGACCAGATCCCAGCTGGTTGCTACCAACCCCTGTGTGTGTGAGAGAATTAAATGGTAATGGCAGAGTCGCCCAGAGGGAGCGCAGACACCAGTGGTTGTTCACAGGAATTTTAGTTCTTGTCTTTTTTTCAGTCTGGAACTTTCTGTCCATTTTATTCACAGATAAGGGCTCTTCCTGTTCAATTTGGGGAAAATAATAAACAAAAATCTTAAGTGTTCCACAGTTGATCTCTAACTAGTTCTGATGTTTTTTATAAAGAGGAACATTTTCTCCTTATTCTTCTGTGGAACTGAGACTTTCCATAAAAAGCTATTTTTTTACGTCTTGCAGTGAAGAGTAAATTCAGAAGAGAACATCAGTGGGACCGAGCTGCTCTGGGTTAATCTGTTTAGTCCAGACATATGCTTCTATCATTAGTCTCTGATGCTGCAATAAAATAAAACCAAATCAATACAGAGGCCCAGTGCTGAAAGAAACATGAGTCAAATCTGCTGCAATTCCCACGTCAGGATTCTCAGTGTGAAAGTCAAATGATGTGCAGAAACCCAGATTCTAATTGGAGGGAATAGGAAGTTTTCCTCTTCATCACATTGTTAATGTCAGTGGGGAAACAGACTGTAGAGAATGTAAAACACGTCCTGTTTTATCTTTGAAGACTCGATCACGACTCGTTGTGAAGATTTCTGTAGATTATATCCATCCATCCAAAGCCATTATTCTTCTCTCTCTCATATCATTTTCCAAAACTTCAGACGCCTTTTTAAAAAGGTTCTTCAAGCATCAGGGGCAGTAAATAATCTCCCGTCTAATTATTGGTTGTTTGGTTTTCAGGCCCATAATGCTGTGGCATTTTCAAATATTACAGTAATGGGTTCGAGGGGATGAAATAAAAACAGGTCAAAACAAGGGGAAAAAAACGCACGACATGATGCCAGTGCTTTTTCAAGGGTTTGTAAGGTTCATATCTGTAGACTTGGCTGTTGAGTTTTTTTTTATTTTTTATTTTAACATAATGACGATCGGTTTTGGGTGATACTAAACTCATGAAAATGGTTCAAAATGCAGAAACAAAAGCCACTTTAACAATGAGATTGGCTTCTTTAACCAGTAGTGCAACAAAATGACTCAACAGTGGTCTTAAAAGAGACAGACAACACTTACTCTGGTTGACCTGTCTGGTCAAATCCTATGGGAGGCATGGTCACAAACCGTAGGGATGTTGAGTTTTTTTGTTTTTTTTTTTGAAGTTGTTTTATCGACTGGTTTGGTCATCGCAGCCTAAATGACATGAAAATGTTTCTAGTTATTCTTAAGTTTTGCAGTAAATCTTTGGATAAAGTTAAAAAAAATCTTCTAGGATTTTATAACAGTTTACAGTAGTTTTACAGACATTTATGGATTTGTTTTCATGTTTTTTGTGGCCTACATGACTAAGACAGAGAAGAATTGAGGAGTCATTGTCTTTTTTGTCCACCCTGAACAAAGGTGGACCCGAGGGTTGTCGGCCTTCATTGGGTTGTGGGTCTTTACATTCTGCATCACGAGGCTGAACTTTTTTTTTTTTTACTTTGTCTCCATGTTTCTCACATGATTCAGGTGAAATAATAACCGTTACAGCCAATAGGCACCAACCTAATCCATTTTGTGGTGCTTTAATTCTGGGTGAGTTCTGGTGGAAGCAGGCGTTGTAGCCCTGATGCCCCACCGACCCACTGACCCACCGACCCACTGCTGCTGTATCTTTAGTCACTTTATCAGGGCATCAACCAAACCATCAACTCAGATCAGTTCCTCATTAACCTTAAAGCCCTGCTCATATGGGCTATTAATCATTCTTTGTGTGTGTGTGTGTTTGTTTGCATAATATTTTGTGTGTGACCAGAAGGTGTTTAAGGAGAAACAGATGGTGTTCACAGGTTCACATTCACTTTTATCAGGTGACAGATTTCCTGCGTTTAAACTCAAATAACCCTAAAGTTCTCTGTGTTTTATAAATAAAATAGTTCAGTAAATATTGGAAATCTAGTTAATTTTAATTTTAATATTTTCTTTATCGTATTTGCAAAAGTTAAATGCCTTTCCACATCTACATTTTGGGAGAAAACAGGAAATTAAGTCCATTTAAATCCATCTCTGACAACGTTATCTGAAGATGTACAATGTGGGATGTGGGACAGGCAACAGTACGTAAATACACAGAGTAAGATGTGAGTTGGAAGATGAATTTTGGGGAAAATAAAATAAAATAAAAACACAACTTTGCATCTATGCTTTCTATCACATTTAATCTGGGGTTGGATATCCTGATGAAGTAAACCAAGTTTTATACTTTATTTTGCAGATGACATAGCCGTATTCCAGTATCTCTGTACCAGAATGTATTGGGCTTCAGCTTTAATATTGTTAAAGAGATAATCTCTAAAAAAGCAACATTATCAACAGCAGGTCAGCTGTCATTTGATCTCTGTGTTTCTGATTCTGACCACTTATTTGTATTTGTTGTTGTATTTGTTTTCCACTTTCAGAAGTCATAATAAAAACCCTGCACTTTAAACATCACGTGCAATAAACACTATATTTTATGGTTGTCAGTGGGTACTGGAGCTGAGAAAACAATCAAGACGTTTAATGACGGTGGATGAAGGAGAGCTGCAGCTCAAAACTCATTATTATTGTTGATACACTGATGATTTCACTGTTGCTGTTGGGCTCCTCAAAGCCTCTGCGCAACTTATCAACAATCCTACATTTTAGATTCTGGGTTCTGGGTCAGATGACGGTGGATGATGGTTCTCCGGGGAGTATTGTTCTGATTGTTCTTATTGTGTTGTGTAATTCAGCAACAATGGTTTCATTTTTAATGTGAATATTTGTATCCTCAACCTTTTGGGTGTTTTTTTTTTTTTTTTTGAAATAGAGAAATTTTCAGTTTGATGAAAAATATCATATTACATTACATTTTATTAAATTACAATTTTTTTTTCTGGTTCCAGGCTGCAGAAGAGCCCTCTCTGCTGATGTCCAGTCCCAGGATGCTGCTCCCTGTCTCAGGTACGCTGCCACCAGGGGCACCGTTGTCTGTGCACCACCAGATCCAGCTCCTCCAGCAGCAGCTCCAGCAGCAGCAGCAGCAGACACACGTGGCTGTAGCTCAGGTCAGTCGTCTCATTTGTTCACATTAAACTGGGACACATTTAAAAATGATAACATCCGTATAAACCGTGGGTAATTGTACTTTATATTTAAAGTCAGAAACTTTAAATATAAAGTACAATTACCCACGGTTTATACTCAATAATATTTTAAAAGTGGTTAGTGTAAAATGGAGTTTTATCAACATGCTTCCCAGAGACCTGTGGCTCTCATAGACAGATACAGTGTCAACCACTTTCAATTGTTTCCTTGTCTGGACAACTGACAGATTACACTCAGCCAGAACCTGCCGGAGCTCATGAGACCCAGAAGACAAAAGATGTGGTGTCAAAATGTGTTTCAGTATTTTTTCAGGATGGTACTAAAAGGCATTAAAACCATCTAGTGGCCCATTTGTGGTCTCATCTCATCCATGTTGAGCAGCAGCTCTTCCCTCCGTTGCCCCCTGTGGACAGCCCTCAGTCCACAGTTAAATGACGTCTGATGATGGTGAACTTGGCTTGGCTGGAGGTTTCAGTTAATGGGTGTAAATTAGTGATCTCTCCAGCAATAATCACAGCTCACTTGGCGGAATTGAGAGGTTTAATGGAGTTGAAGAAAGAGGAAACCATTTCTGTAGATGCTCCTCCGTCACTGCTTGATGAAACTTTACACACCTTCTTCTCCACCTATATGACTTCTTCCTGCTCCTTCTCTTTTATTGAGGACCCCCCTCCTTCATTATCACCTCCTCACCCCCCGAAGCCTCCCTCCCCGTAGACCTTGCTGTCCCAGAAAACTCCCTCCCTTCATTTTTCTGCCTCTTTCATCAGCATTAATGGCTGAATGTCGTCGGCTGATCCTCTTCCTACTTAATATTTCTGACTCTTTGTGCTTCATCAAGCACTTCGCTGTTCTACAACAGTTACCAGTGTAACGTTTCCTTATCGTTGCACCAGCAAATTCATCATTTCCCCCCAGTCTTAATGCTGAAAAGGAGATTAAACAGAGGCGACTGTAAAGGACTGTTCAGACACAGACGTAGCCCTGATGATCCAGGCATGTTAGCTCTTTCATTAGCACCAGCTATATTGCTATGGTTAGGGTTACATTAAAATTAAAATTAATTAAATTAAATCCATGCCTAAAACAGTTTTTTTTAAATACACATCAGTCATTTTCTATAAAATTTCTTTTGCTGTGTGAAAATAACAGCTTTTTCCGGTTTTTCCTGGTTTATGTCTACGAGGCTAATGTTCAGCAATGTTATCAGTGTCAAGTCTACGTTTTGGTAAATCTGCAGGGCGGGGCGTTGCAAATCTAATTTTTGTTAACATATTGTTATATTTTAGCTTATTATTAGCTGTTGCAGCTAACTTTTAGCTTTTTCTGGACAGAGATACATTAAAGTACCACCTCATGCTAAAGATTTTAATTTTACACTTTTCATCTTTTTATAACATGGAGTCATTACATATGTTACAACTCTGGAACACCCAGCGGTTGCTAAGAAAATTCTAAATTCTCCTCAGTTTTCTTGAACTTTTGATACAAATATCGCCATCACATGGTCCAAGATCATATTCCAAGGTCACTTTAACACGATTAAAATCACTTTTGGCCAACTGTCAAACCAGAATGGAGCTTTTCTTTTTAACTTTTGTTTTGAAAAGGTCGGCGTCAGTGAGACTGGTCATTTTTCTGGCCAGCAATCAGCAGATGATGACCACTGTTCTCACTCTGTCCCAGAGTCCTGAGCCAATTGCTCTTTGTGATTCAATGAACAGGACGGAGCAGACGGTGAGAACAGATCATCAGCGTGTGTCGCCTACTTATTGATTTCCTGTCAAAGTCTGATTTTATAAAAGAGGCTGCTGAGCCCTGGTAGTTCTCACTTACTGTCAAGTCCTTGTATTCATTTATTTCCCTTTGTTATGGCACTTTTTTTTTTCTTCATTTTAGACTTAAATCATCACATTTCTACATTTGTTACAATTCTCTTTCATGATTTCTGTTTAATTTCCCTTTAACTTTGACTTTTCTTCTAACAAGTAGGGTCCTTTAGTGCATAGAAAAATGAGTCAGGCCTTTGACCATTAAGGGTTTGATTTGTGACTCATGTCGGCATCAATGAATCCCAGTGATAAAACATTTTACTCCGTTAGCAGCTACAGAAGCTTCTTCTTCAGATGTCATTCAGCAGGTTTGAATACAAATCAGGCCAGAGCTGGTTAAGCTATGGCCCTTGGGTCAAATATGGCCCGCCGAGCTTTGTAATCCGGCCCCACAAAGACTGGTGTAGATTTCGCCCAGCATTCTACAGCCAACCAATACTGGTGATGCTCTTACTGTAGGCTGAAAAAGAACAAAATAAAACAATAAGGTGAGACAGGAAGTGACACTTGTTGGAAGATTGAAGATTTTTTCACATGATCACACACAGGTGTGTTTTTAACAGGAAAACTGTCAGTTAGTCCAGTTTGAAGTGTATTATACTCAACTCCAACATCAAATTAGAATTATTGTTCTAGCTTTTTCTAAACTGGGCTTTTTAGTTGGTAATTAGCCAAATTATTGAGATGGTGGTAGTTGATTCCGTTGACTCTCGTCCTTGGCCAGGGTACTTAGTCATGGTGCGCGGTTTCCAACAAAGAAAGCAATAAGAAAAGCAAGGAGATGCTGCTGCCTAATTAAAGTTTGAAGGAGTTTTTTTAGCAGCTTCAAGCTCCTTCAATTTGGCGTCACTCTGATAAGAAGCAGAAAGGCGGCAGCAGGTTCACTATCAGGGGAGCAACAATGTGAAACACAAGTGGAGCAACTTTATAATTGGCTCTTTGTCGGACTTGTAGTCTTAGTAAGAGGTTTCTGGGAAGAATAATAGAGCTGTAAAGTCTTAACTACTTTGTTGTGGTCAGGATCAGGGTTTTAATTCTCAGAGTCTCTGACTGGTTCTAACTGTTCTGCTGTTGATGCATCTGTGCAATCATCCGGACCAGAGCGTTTTCATCATGAATCTTCTGCCTCAGGTTTTCACCAGCCTTCTGCACTATTATTATGTAAATGAACAGGTTATTATGGTTATAATGAGATGAGGTCTGAATATGTGTAATGTAGAGGGTGAAGTGAAGTCACTGTCAGTCTCCTGTGTCACCGCAGCACCTGAATACAAACAGGACGAAAAATTCAACATCTCAACACATGAGGTGCAGCTGCTGCAGGTGATGCAACAAAGGCTACTGCTGTTCGGACGGCTAATGAGCTCAGCTAGTGTTTTTGGTTCAAAGTTTCAATGTTGGGATGAGGAGCAAAGAAAGAAGAGGAGAGAAAGAAGCTGTAGTCGGAAGTACTGAAGAAGCTAAAATGAACACTGTTTCTGTTGACTGCTGATAAAGTAGCAGGAAGTGAGTGAGAAGCAGAGAACAGTTGGTAGAAAAATCTGTGTGAGTTAAATATATAGGCGGTTTGGCAGGCTGGATTTGGCCCACGGGCTGCAAGTTGATAATCAGTGATATGGATACTTTAAAGGGAAAGCAGTAGCACGCACACAAACACAACACACCTGAGAAACAGGAAGTGATGCAATACAGTAGGTACGACGGTAGACTTCATGGCTGAGGAGGACACATTTTAACCATGGGGGGTGCAATCTTAGGGCAGTGCTGAGCAGAGTGGACTTGTCTCAGCAGGTGGTAACTCTCACAGGTCAAGTCTGCTCATGACGTACGACGGAGGGGGAACAGTTTGAGGGGAGGTGTGTGTAGGATGTAGGTCAGCAGCAGTGCTAACAAAAATATGAATTATTAAACTGGTGAATCATTAAAAAGTGGGTCAGACAACAGACTTCACCTGAGCACTTGACAAAATAGTGGGGAGGGGTGTTTTAACAACTCGTCATTTGTTTTAAAGCAGTTTGTCTTTTTCTGCTGAATTAGATGTGCTGTAGTTTAAAGTTACTGTTAAATTAAAACACTAATCCTGGCGTCTACACAAATCCAAACATCTGACATTTTCAACCCTGTAGTGCCTCCCTCTTTTTGCTTTGGTTACTGCATCTCAGCACACAAATCTTCCCCCCACCCCCATGGCCTCTGTAGGGGTGGCTGATGCACCACAGTCGTCAGCAGGGCATCATGTGTTTGAGTCAGGCTCCCACTCCACCATAGATCAAGACTGGCTTCAGTAAATGACATCAGCACAGTCATCATGGTGCTGTCAGTGTGTACAAATGAGGTCTTCAGAGGCTGCCCGCTCCCATCTCAATCTGCAGCCCCCTCTGTTTGTCACACAGTGTGAGGATAATGGGAACCGATGACAGCCTTCCTCCACACTTGTTTTCTCTCTGGGTGGGTGAGAGGCAGCAGAGGAGAAGGAGGAGACCTTGGTACAGAAGCTGTGAAGTTTGACTCCCGTCTGGTGCTCTCCCTGCTTCACTGGCTCTTTATTAGATCGGTAATGAAAGAAAACCTGACGCCGCACTGGGAGAACATTACTGAGACTCAGACCCACGAGGAGGAGCAGTTTAGGGAGAAGAGTGATGAGCTAAACATGTTAGCACTGCGTTAAGATGCACAGTTTAAAGGCTGCACTTAGACCAACATGTCCTCACCTGACACCCATTTGTGTTGAAGATCTTTATCACATCTAAACGAGAAATGGGGAAAAGGAGGTGTGTGGTGGAGTTCAATCCACACTATTATAAAAAACAACATCGGCTCAACAACGGTGTTTAAGGCCTAAAAGCTAGTCAACTTTGGTTTACATTTAAACTGCCTAATAGTATTTGAAATTTATGGTTTTGTTCAGTGCATTTGTATCTCCATTTGAGACGAGTAAGTATCCATCCATCCATCCACAGAATTATTTGTGTTTTGATACAAGACAAAGTCTAGATCAGAGCGGCTGCCGCAGCAGTTTTATTCCCATTATACAAATAGAACATTATTAACACACGTAATTAAAGAGATACGACATCTGTAGCCGACGGCAGCTCCTGTTTTCTCTGGGTTTCATTACCTTTGACAAATGAAACCAAGCAGGATCAAATATCGCAATGACAGCAATTTATTAACTGATAATGACTGTGCTAATTATGTTGCTAATTGTGTTGCTACTTCTCCTCAGTATAATGAGTTCATATTAAAAGACCTGCCACAGTTACACAGAAAAGAAATCATGTATGTGTGACTCAGCTCTGAGGGTTTATTTCATCTTTTTTTTTTATCCTCTGTGAAACTCCAGTACCTGGTGCTGTTTTCTCACCTCATGTTTTGCCACTGAGTGATGCAGTGACTGTTTCGTTTTGTTTGTTTTTCCCCTCAACACATCAACTTCATTGATTAATTACTATGCAGTAAAATAGAGTGCTATTGATCAATCACTGCCACCTGCTGCTGACTCAGCTCTGTCCTCGGCCCAGCCTTTTCCAGGTTATAAAGTGAAGGTCTAAATATTCTGGTACTCAATAAATACGCTGAATTTTAATTGTGTTCAATAACGAGACTGACACTTTACATTAGAATTTGACGTCAAACTTTTCTTCCCTGCTTGCTTTGCGTTGGTAAACGCCTCATAACATTATAAATCATGAAAATTAGATGTGTCAACAGTATAAAACAAACACTCTCTTAATTGGCGTGTCAGGTGTTGATGAAAACACAGATGAATTGCATTATTTACTTTTTTTTTTCCTGAGGAGGAGAACAGAGTCATGTGTAAAATCAAAGCACAAAAATTAAACTGTAAATGGATATACAAAATACTTTAGCCATCAAACAAACATCTGAAATATTCCACTTGTATCTCAGTTATTCTACCTTGACAAACCTGAATAGATCACATGTCAGTACCCTAATACTCCCCCTATGGTTTGCATAGTTGGAGCACTAGAGAGAGGGCAATACTGAATGCAAAGTTCATCTTGTTCAGCTGTATTTAGTTAAAAAAAAAACAAAAAAAAACGTCCAGCCAACCTGTCAAACAAGTCTGTTTGGATTTTAAATACAATTCATTTTGCATGGGCGCACGTGAGCTATTCCGTGCAACACTGTCCCTTAAATTGCCCCGGTACTGCACCGTTTCCTGCCTTTGAGTATACAACGGCAGGCTCTTGAAAAAAGAACCAAATTACATATGTAACAACGCAGGGCACGATAAAAAGGTTCTTTAGTTTTGAACGTAAACGAGGCTTAGGTTAAACAACACGCCCCTAGTGCATAGAAGGCAGCAGACATCAGACTCATGACACGATCCAGAAAAACAAGGTTTAGGGAAATCAGTCTGTGTTAAAAAAAATAAATAATTTGTCAAAAAAACTGTCATGATGTCACAAGACGTTAGGTTAAATGAACCCTTAAACATCCTCCTGTGCAGGTCCACCTCCTGAAGGACCAGCTGAGTGCCGAGGCCACGGCTCGTCTGGAGGCTCAGGCTCGGGTTCATCAGCTGCTGCTGCAGAACAAAGATCTGCTGCAGCACATCTCCCTGCTGGTTAAACAGATCCAGGAGCTGGAGACCAAGATTTCTGGACCAAACCTGAGTAAGTGCATTGGATTTGGCACCTTCACCATCACTCTTCTTCATTCCTTCTTTACAGTTCAGGAAAATGTACTGGCATTTAACTACATGCTTGGTTTAACACAGGCTCAGGAAAACTGTTGTCAAAGTGACGGCTGTTATATTTAATGCTGTTATTTTCAACAACACCTGCTCTTGCTTTTAAATGTTTCAACAAACATGTTAAAAGATTTAGGTGTAAAAAAGCCATAATGACCACCTGCTGTTTGTTTCCCTGAACTCTGTCTCACAGTGGCGCTAGGCTACGACAATGGAATTGAACAAGAGCAGTTTTATTAATGCTGTTAGTCTCACCTGCACTTCTGTTACAAGTCTAAATGTCAACTCGGGCGAAAAGACTAATTTCACGTCAAATTTGACTCCAGACTCGTAGTAGAAATCAGTTTGACACCATGCTGCAGGTTCATACACGACTCTGTGATGATCCCGTTGAACAAACATACATTTAAAATACAATTAGCTTCCAGGACCAATTGTGTAAAAACTCCTCTGTGACCAAAGAAACCGATTCTGGTTTCTTTGGTCACAGATGTTAAAAAGGGTCTGACCTTTAAAGTTTTTTTTTACAATCCACTTTGGTTTTTGAGAAATGGTTGCAGTATCTTTTCAATATGTGTGGTTATAGTAAATATTGAGTTGTGTAGTAAAATATCACTCTAAATGATGTATTATAGACTTGGTCTTCTTTTCCCCTCAGTGTTCAGCCGGGCGGCCATCTGTCTGTCTCACTGTTTGTCCATAAACTTTTCTCAGATTTCTTTTCTGACAGGCAGCAGAGAGGAACAGATTGCCATGTAAACCAGTTCAGACAGGTTTATCTGATGTGAAGGTGTTTGAAGATGCTTTTAAACGCGGCTGATCATTGTCTTCCATTAGAAAAATCTTTTGCGGTTGATAGAGCTGAGGATTTGATGCCGAGGAGAGTAACTTCTCTTTTATTTCTCCAGTCTTCACTGTCTGTTGATAAAACTCGACTGAACGTGTTTTACTCAGTAGTCTTGATTTTTCACGGAAGGCTTTAAAATGTGTTTTTATTTTATTTATTTTAGTAGTAGACAAATTATTTATTACTGTAGAGTGATTGATTTGGTTGGAGCAATAATCCTGCTTTTACCACCATTTATTATTCAGCCCCCATCCTGCAGGGGGAGTAGGGAGATGAATTTAAATAAAGGAAGAGAATAAAATATAAATATTTGATCTCCGTCTCCTCGGCTCCTTCATCACCTCTCCTCTTGTCGTCCATCTTTTCTTATCTCTCCTTTCCAGCCGGCTCCCAGGACAGTTTATTGGAGATCACCTTCAGGTCGACAGTTCCTCAAGTCATCTGCGACCCGACGACTCCGAAACCGGAGGTGACGGTTCTCAATCTGCCTGCACTCGGCGCCAACGACGGGACCAGCAATGCCTTCTCATCCACCAACGGCACTCTGGGAAGTCCTCTAGGTAGGGACCAATGTCTTCTCAAACTGGAGTGTTTCCGTTTCCTCCCAGGGCCTCCTGGTCCCCCGCCTCCTCCTCGACTCCTATCACCTCCTCTGACACTCAGACCAAACAGGCTCGAGCTCAGAAGTCCTGAGGCCTCAGAGAGCACGACAGGGTTTTTGTCCAGTGACCTGAAATCTCTGGGCAGTTTAGACTTTACCAGGTTTCGCGAGTCGGGTATTGCTTCGGAGTACGAGTCGAACTCAGACGACAGCGATGACAATGAGGATGAAGGGGAGGATGACGAGGAGGAGGATGAGGAGGAGGTGGAGTTTTTTGGCTGGGGCACAGATGAGGAGACGGTGCGGCTGCTCAATGTGCTGAACAAACAGAGAAACACTCAGTGTCTGGGGGGCGAGATAGCAGTGTAGCACAGATCAGACACAACAGCCTTTCTCTCTGTCCTTTAACCTCAACTGACGGTATGAAGTACCACACAGTATGTTACGTATACTCCATTACACAGGAACTTTGCCATTTGCAGGTTTTTACTTTTTAAATAACAACCAATTTTTATTTTAGTTTTAATGATCTTGACACAAAATATTAGGGTTCCTTTGGGCTAAACATGAAGCAAACCAGGTGTAGATCTACCATGACTGAAATATGCAAATATTTCAGAATGTATTGATATATGCATTGTCTTTGTGAGGCCACAGACACAGTACAACGTACATACGTAAATGTATTTCTATGTATATATGTATGTGTATATATTTATGTATATTTATTTATATATGTATATACATATATATTTATGTATATGTGTATATATGTATATATACAAATATATTTATGTATATGTGTATATATGTATGTATACAAATATATTTACATATATACTGTATATGCATAAATATATTCATATAAATATAGACATGTGCATAAATATGTAGATAAATATAGTATACAAGCATACATACACATACATATATATTTACGTATACACTGTATAAAGCCTATCGATTTTAACAATTTAACAATTTCATCATCATCATCTGCCGTCTTTCATCTCAGTTTTGATTGGATTAAAAAACTGAACCTCCACACTTCTCACTCAATCACAGATCAAAACTACAGTTAACCAATCCTACCTGGATTTTACAAATATTTAAAAACAGAGTTCAGGGATGTTTGTGCGGGTAGCGCTGCTTTTCTCACACTAGAAGGAACAGGACAAAATGACTGAGACTGAGACTGACGAGCCCTCGTTCTCGACGTGGAACAAAAGTAAATATAAACACTTGAACCAAACGGTGAGAAGAAGTTTCCCTTGGATCTTCTGTTCTTCTTGAATCAAAGACTATTTTAGACCAAATCTGTTCTGTGCTCAACCAACTTTGTTTTTCTCCCTCTTCACACTGTTCCGTCCTTGACTCTCCTCTGTTCGTTGGTCGTCGGAGCATGAACACATTCTTCTTCACTTCTCCTCACAGTTTCCTGCCTTTTAATTTATGTAAAGTCGGGATTAGTTGGACCTCCAGGAACCCTGTTTGTTTCCATCATTCATCCCAGAAAAACAAAACCTTCTGCCTGCTGCCAGAACAGCAGCTCAGTGATGACAGATAAAGTGGTCTTGTTTGTTCAAACCCGACTCTGTGTTTTGGCCTGCGGCCACTATCCTCGTATTAAAGTGTTGGTTTTGTTTCACGAGGAAAGGCCACAGTGTTTTCTTCCTTCAGGCAGTGTATCAGCACAGCACCGCCGTCCAATCAGCTCCGCCACTCTCGTGTTTGGTCAGAGTAGATGCTGCAGAGTAGAGATTTAAAGGGGGGGACCAGGCCGCCACACTGTGGGATATACGGCTTCTGCAAAGGGCTTTTGGCCTGATATGATCGAAGCAATCTGGTGAGAATGGAAAAGGTGGATTCCCAGATAACCAGTCATTTTCTGAAGCTGCTGTGATGTTTCCTGCTCTACAGATTTGTGTGTCTGTACCGAAATGTTTTTAAAGCTGTAAAAAAGGATGCACACTTGGGAATTTTTTTCTCCGATCTCTGTCTCTGAATCTGTATCTCAGCTTTTGTAAATTTATTTTTTCAATAACACGAGTGCAAATATTAGAAGAACTAAAAAAAAAGTCTCAGGCCAAACTGACTTAAGCAGGACAATTCACTTTTAATTAATATTGGCGATTGTTAATTGGCTGCACGGTGGAGGAGGGGTGAGTGCTCTTGCTATACAAGAAAACCTGTGGTTTGATTCCCTTTGGTAACTATTGGTCATCCTGTATGAGTTTCTGCTCCATAAACATGCAGCTTGTCTGGTCTGCCTCAGGGTCCGTGGTGTAACCCCGCCCTCACCAACTCCTCAAGGACCCTGAAAAAATATTTAGGAGTAGAAACCAGATGATTTTTTTTTCTCTAAAGAGCAATCCGTGGTGAGGTCGTGAACGGAGCTTCACTGGATGATAAGTGACTCAATCTTACAGTGAGCTGACACAGACATTAGATGCAGCACTTTAACCACCCGTTAATAAGCAGACGTAATTTAACCTCTGGCATCTGTTGGGATTAAACTGAGGTTCCAGTGTATTGTAAACTGTGAATTGTGTTCTTATAAGGAGTGTTTACTTCACACTAACAGTTCATCAATATACAACAAAAAGAAGAGAAGAAGAAGAACCTTGTTGTCATTGGACATGGTTTTCTAGGAGTCTAGCAGCTGTTTTATTGGAGCAGCTAAAATATCAACATTAAAACAAATAAATATCAAGATAATAATAAGTAAATAGGTAAATATATGATATTATTAGGGATGTCCAATATTAACGGTTAATATAACCGTGTAATATCTGTAAGAATATAGAATTATCAGTTTTTCCTCCGGTAATAAAACACAATTACAGAATGCCTGGGTTTTGCAAATGATGTGTGCCTTTAAAATAGTTTTGGGGGAAAACGGCTGCATATTAAAGTGAAAGTCACTAGATGGCAGCATTGCAGCATTTTATTCATCTATTTTAATAATCAGGGGATTGTTTGCAGAATGCTGGTCCCAGCAACTCATATAGTGGTTTGTACAGATACATAAAGAAATAAATTGTCCCTTAGAGGGGGCATGGCAAAAACGAATTTAGGCAGCCAGCATTTCACTTCCTTAACCACTGGGCCAGTATTGGTTGATATTGGAATTGAAAAATAAGTGTTTAGACAATATCGACATAAAGTTAATATCGGACATCCCTAGATATTAGATTTCAATAGTAAAATATATATTCGATGTTTCAGACAGACATCTGGCCAAAAGATGTCATGGTTTATTATTAATAGTATTTGAAGTCATCTTGGGTGTTAGTTAAAAGCGAATTAAACACTTCTCGAGGACAATGAGAAAATTTGACTTTCCTTTCATCCTTTTTTAATTCTTCCTCTTTTCTCATATTTCTCTTTCTTTAGATGTGACATTAGCCCTTAAGGGTTAACTTTTCTACTCTTCTGTGTCTCACTGCTCACTGTGTGCACACCAGATTAAAAAAAAGTTCAACACTGAAGCATTTTAATGGACTGTTGTTTCATCTTTAACAGGCAGTGGATTAAATCAAGTTCAGAACATTTGATCATTGAGAAAATAATAAAACTGCCCTAGACGTTGATAAAGTGAAATATATTCACACTTGTTCCAATAAATCAGCTATTAAAGCCTGAAATTACAGTAGTTTCAAAAAGACGAGCCTTCCTTATCACTCAGTAATTCCATTTAATCAGACAGTGTGATACATTATCTGGTGAAATCACCTCGGTATCAGGCTCAATCAAATCTCTGATTTATTGTAGGTTTGGAGAGAAGTGAACGCCAGGAGACACACAGAGTTCCACAGCTGGAACATGATTGGATTTCAGCTCAGATTCTCTCTCCTGTGACTCCTGCCCTTGAATGACATTGTCTGAGTCTGTGTAAATCTAGAAACTTGGCAGTTTGACTTGAAGTTGAGGAGGATGATGGTTGTACATCGATGCCTTAGACCAAACTCACCCCCGAAAAAAAACAACATGGGAAATGTCTCCAAGAGAGAGTTGGGCTTCTTAAGTGTTACACAACCTGACTTTCAATTTTCTCACTTTATTTATTATTCATTTGTGCATTCATCTGTTCCAGTAACAAACATGTCCTGTGATGGTAAAGGCTAGCAATTTAGCTATTTAATATCTTACCATTTCTCAAACTAATAATGAAATGAATGACCTGTGCAAAAATAACTGCTGACAATACATTTCCATATTGAGCAGCCACACTTCGTGCCATCAAAGAGAAGAGATGTTTTAGAGTTAAATCGCGTCATCTATTACTGTCTTTAATTGGTCGTATCACAACAGAGCACATCTTACAGTAACTCCCATCTTTGTCCCTGATGTTAAAATACCTCCAAACTACTGACCTTGTTGACCTACTTTATTAAACTTCCTCTGTGGATGACTTTCCTTCGGTAACTTTAAGTGAAAAGTTTGGTTAGTGCATAATTAAATTTCTACTATGTTTAAATTGGTCCAGTTATAGAGACTTTAGGACTAACTGAGCAACATACTGTATATATACATACACACATATATATACACATATATTTAGTATATATTATATATGTTTGAGTATACATATAATTTTATATATTTCTTTTATTATCTTTTAAGTGTCTGATTGGACCCTGTTAACTATAATCCTTAGTCTGGTTTTAATTATAAGCCAAAACAAACAGAGGATTCTTTATTGCAGTAAAGTGTGAAAAAACCAGCCTTTCATCAAGAGTCGAGCGTCTTCACAAATCCCACATTAAAAACAGCTAATCCTAGTGATGGCCCCGCTGCCACCTTTTATCCCAGGTTAATCCTTTATGAATGCTCTTTATAGAAACTAATAAAAATTAACCTCTGGGTTTTGAAGCTGCCCTGGAAAGTGCTGATGTCACAGTCCACCCTGTGCCACGTTATCGATCAGACATTTTGTCTCCCTTCCCAGAATGGTGG